GTGCCAGCTATCTGCCACAACTTTCTCCTCATGGGCTCCTTCATTATGCTGGCCTGATAAGATTTGATATGTCACATACCTAACTAGAAGGGCCTCTTCGAGCCATTAAAAATTCATTTTAAATGTGCTGAAGGGTGATATAAAGTGTAAAAATATCAAAGTGTGAGAAAAGTGTGTGTTGAGTGACAATAAGTGGTGGTTTTGTGGTTCTCTGTGTGTGCCTGCAACTCGAAAGAGAATGAGGGGTCGAGAAAGCTGAGAGAGCAACTTTGGTTACTTGATGATAAGCTCAAAAGATTGACTGCCTGCTGCAATTTTCCCTGCTGCCTGGTGAAGGAAAAGAAAAATGCTCGCTGTTTAAATAGCATGTTTTCTTAATCCCACTTCACTGGACAGCTGCAGGCAATCTTCAGATGTTATATTTTCTCCTTACTCTCCCTGCTCACTCCCTCTCTTTCGTTCTCAGATGGCTTTTAGTGACATAAAGCTGCTGCTTTGCCATCCTCGCAAACACTAAGCCCCTGGAACATGGTGTTGGCCTCCCAGGGATGGGCACGGCACTGCAACCCAGTGTTGCACTGTTGGCTGTCAGGCTGCTTGGCTGCTTCAATGTGTACAGTATGTTGTATGGACCACAGCCAGATCTGCTGGCAAAGGCCAGCAAAGCTGCAGCCCAAGATCTAAGCTGAGAGACATGACTTGTCAAGCTGAAGGCCAAAGGTCTCTGAATATGCCAACTCGAACATTGAAAGCAGAAACTGCTTTGTGAGTTTTCAACACACTGTACTAACATGGATAGTCAAATCTACTGAAGCTCTTACATGTTCCTCTATGTAATAATTTACGTGAATGTGACTTATAGTCCAACTGAAACTTTAATTCTCCTAACTTTTTGTGTAAAGAAAAAAAATAGAATTATATGGCAGCCATTCATTTATGGGATGGTGGGTTATTTAGATAATTTTGCTTGTAGATCTTTGCTATTTTTACTGCTGTCCCCTTGGAGGACATTAATGTAGGGGGGGTTTCACTGCAGAACAATGAATACATTATCTTAGTAATTATAATTAAGCACAGGTCAAAACAAACACCAAGGACATATAGCCTATAGTGATTTCTTAGTAAAAATGTATTTTAATTTCATTTTGACTTCCTTTTTTATTAGATAACCAGAAACTACAGGAGCACAGAGTGCATTATGGCTGTTGAGCCACTGTGTTGTATAATGCACAGCATCAGTACTCCCCTCACACCTACCTACAAGCTTCCTCTATATTGGACACTGACCTTGGCCAGCGGTCTGGCATGCATCCTATTCGTCTAGCCAACATACAATGTAAATGGGTTTCTGAAAATTAAAAATCCATGCAGCCCAATTCAATATAGGACAGTGTTTCTGGGCACAGGTGGAATATGCATTAGGGCGTAATGATATTACCTATAACTCCACAACGCCCCCCCATTCTCCAGAGGAAATGACTAGAGGGGCCTACAAACACTGCTTGAATATGGTGGAGTTGTGCAACACCACAACATTACTGAGAGAAAGCCATTTACAGTTTTGATGAAGTGCACTTTGTAGCACAGGCTGTACATATAGAACAACACTACAGAGCTTGGTACTTAATGGATCAAAATTCAGTACATCATGGAACATGTAGAAGCTTGGTTTCATTCAGTAGGGTTGGGAAAAGGACACCAAGGAAATATGGCATTATAAGAGCAATATAAAGCCACCATGCCAACCTTAAATATAATCTCAGTGAGTGCTCGGATGCATCAGTTCTGCAAATACATAGACAGTAATGTTCTGTATTCAGGAGTGTCCATAATCATTTGTGTCAAGCTTGACCTATTACCTTTTGTCTCTTGTCATCTGTTCTTATTCCTTAGATTCCTTTGCTTTCTTAACTGTTTGTCAGACTTCTCCCACATCCTTTCAATCTGATATGATCATCAATATTGGTATTGCCATATATGTTACCTGATATTGTCTAATATGAAAACTATTCCAGTAAGTAATGAAGAAAGAAATTCTTGTGAAGTGATGTACATGGTAAATTATTTAACAGTTTAAAGAATATGTAACTTAAATATTCTTTGATAAATGTATTTGTTTAAGAAAGCAACCTTCTGACTTTGGCATCGTCTTATTGGTGCAAAATTGGTGCACAATCTAAATAGAGAAGACATACAATACAATACATATAAAAAGTCAAAGATTGACTATATAGGCCACCATATCGGTCATTTTCCCCCTCTAAAATCAGTATCAGTATTGGTCTCAAAAATCCCATATCAGTTGAGATCTATAAATTACGTGAGCTATGTTGTAGGTTAGCAGAATGTCTGTGGGCAGGTAGTTTAACAGTACCTGACACATATATCCTGACTGGAATGGCTGGAATAACAAGTTAGTGTTGTGTGGCTCAGCCTTATCCACTTTGTTTCCCATTTACAGAGTGCGGCTGTGTAATTTTTGTTCAGTGCACACAAAAAGCGGAAAGCTAGTGGAGGAGAAAAGGTGGATTAGGATTAGGATTGCACACCTAGAATAGCGTCTTTAATGTATCTGATTAATGTTCACTGACAAACTATTCCATTCATTTTTACTAAAATACCTACTTATACCACGTAAAGGATGATAAAACATTTTTAATGTTTAGGCTTTCACCTGGTTAAGATTCAGGAAAGGGTCACCCTTCACTTCTTTCCGTCTCCTTCTCAGTCCTCCTTAATGCGCACACGTCACCTCCATCTAACACCCTTCCCTCTCAGCCATTTTCTTTCTTTCTCACCCTCACAGCGAAGTTCAGGGTCTCGGTGAAGGTTCGGTTAATGATGACATGCTCCCTCTCACATTTCCGCCTGCTGTCAGTGAGTAAAGTGCCCATGCATCAGCTGAAGGACGGGGCTCTTATTTTGACTCAAAAACAGCTGTGATTTCTTTGTGTCAACATGAGTAATGCGAAATGAAAAACAGACACCATATGTCAGACCTTGACTAAACTCATTTGAATGTTTGTTAAAGGTATTATGTGTTCCCTGGGTATGAGTAATTTCAGTTTTGGGGTTTTGGAGTCACTGAGTGCCTGTGAAGGTGAGTCCAGTTTTCAATAATGTTTATGTTTAAGGCTGCCTTGTCTATGAATGTGTCCTCCCTGTCCTTGTTCTATAATAGCTACTATTCAGGCCCTTTGATTTCTTTCTCTGCAGCAGAGAATAATAATGTCTTCTCAGTTTTTCTGTGTCGCATAAAAGTGTGTTATTTCATGTCACGGTGCTTCCTCAATTTGTTGGCTTTTTCTCTCCACTGTTTGGAGTCGTGTCTTCCTGTATATCAGTTACCAATTTAGGGCACGGTCCATTTCACCCAACAACCCAAGGAAAGTGGTAATTGGTGCATCTACAAAAAAAGAACAATACCTTTGGCTTTTCTGCACGGAGAGAAAAAAAAAATCTTAACACAAATATTAGAGTTATTCAGTATGTTGACTGAGCAGCTGTGCCTTCAGCATTTCAAGCTCTTATGTGGACTGTATGAGGAATAAATGCTTGGAAAATAGCAAAGCAGAATACTTCTGCATGACCAATTAGTTTTAAGCAGTACAAATTACTTAGTAAAAGCTTTAAAAGAAACAAACTTGAATTATTTAAAACTACACTTGGACATTGTAACAACCACTTACTGAAAAAACACTTTCTTAACAAAACCATTGTGAACAACTACAACACCCTCTTTCCAGGGCTCCCTCTGGAGATACACCATACTTGAGGCTCTGTGGCCCTCATGCCCTGTGCAACATAGAGCAACAGCATGCCTCAGGAGATCCCTTTTGCCCAGCTACACACACGTTTTGCACACATAAACTACTGTACACCCACATGCACACACATTCCCTGTCCTTCCCTCAGGCCTCTTCTCCCTCCTCTCTCTGCCTGTCTCAGCGGGAAGGTCACAGGCACACAGTTATCGCGCTCGATTTGATTACGTCTTAATCCAATCAAGCAAAGCAGAGAGAGCACCATTGATTTTTGAGACAAAGAATAATGCTTATTGGGCTTAGAGGCACATGGCTGATTCCTGGACAAGGTTAAGTCCAGAGGGAAATATCATATCTGTCACTGAGCCTGTCACTGAACATGTTTATGGATTATATCTAGATTTACTCCTCTCACTGCTAAATGCAAAAAAGCTGTCAGCTCCTGTTGTGTTCACAGGTAATTTCTGGTCACTGTTATTCTGCAGGACTGTCAGTAGCAGCAGACTCTCATCTGAGAGCCGACAACAGACTATAGATGAAGCAATAATGACCTGCTATAGCTGAGGAGAGGGACCCAAAAAGAATCATCCCACTAAATATGATCCATGCAAAGAGAAAGTTTTCAGAATGAAATGGGTGGAGACTTATGGGAATGATTTGCATTTAGCAATGGAGAATGAGACAGTGCCAGCAGCATGAGAAGTACACTTAATATAGTGGCAAGCTTGAGAGCTAAGCAGCTTTCAGCTATTCAAAAATATCTGAGGCATGTTGTACACACATGAACCCACAAATATACATGTGCATGAGTGCATGGATGCTCATAGAATCATATGTGTACATAAATTGTAACATTCAGATGTGAAGCAGAAGCAAGAGTGGTCAGCACTCTGAATATGTGTCCTTCAGCCTTCATGCTGTCGGTCAGGTCAGTAAGAGTAACGTAAAGTGCAGAAAGATGGCTGCCTCCTGGAGTTGAACAACCACACATTGCAGTGCACTGTGCAACAAAATCAAAGCCAGGAGGATGCTATCTTTATGAACATTATACTTTTTTTCTACATGAAACTTAAGACCTGGCCCGCACCGTAGCTTTGTTGAGATGAAGACTGAAGAACAGTGTGTCTGCAGCACAGCGTCGCCCCCGCTCCACTTCCCACCCTCCCCGAACAGCAAAACAACAAGCCGGGAGATGACGATGACAAGAGCTATTGGGGAATGGCGAGGCCCACTCACCTTCTGGTTCACCACACAGTGTGCACTGTGATTCTAAACAAGGACCAAAGAGAGACAACAGGAGATTAATAGAGGCAACACATATGTGAATGTCTATGTTTGTGCAAGTGTGTATGGGTACAAATATCAGCGTCACCGCCCTTTTATATAGAAATGTTAACAACTGCTATTGAAGATTCAGCAACTCTCTCTCTCTCTGTCAAAAACAAATAAAAACAATAAAACTGAACAAACAACGTGGAGAACAACAAAGCTTTTTTCGTTCCTAATGTCCTTGCAGAGCGGTACCCATGTGCAACATAATAGAAACTCAGCCACCATGCATAATATGACCATCAGCCACATGCGGCTGCATAAAAAGACAAAATGATGCAGAGACAGGCGTCAAAGGAAAAAAAACCCAAAACAAAATGAGAAATCATATTGCTGCAATTCATCACTGCCATGTGCAATAGATGCTGCGTGCCAAAAATATGAACACGCAAACCTGGGCAAGATTCAAAATGTAAATTAAAGCAAAAAATAAAACTTCACACAAACATTTATGACTGCACGCTATCCATCACTTTAATCATTTACATTAGGAATGACGCTTTAATTTAAGGAATAACATGCATCATGCATCTTCATGTAAACAGGAATGATTAGTCGCTATTTCCCTCTGTTAAGCTGCCCTTATTATGCTAATGCAAACATAACAGCACACTGTAAAGCCTTGAAATATAAATCAATATATGGGAATTACTGTTAATGAAGTATCAGATTTTCCCAGGAGCCAACAGAGTGTAGGCAGCCTCTGAGAAGTGCTCCAAGATTATTTTAAACAAACAAGATTATTAAATGGGTTTGTTTTTCAGAGACACTGGGCATAATGAACAAAATGACGATGAAAATGAGTATTATGTCCTCAGGCCTTAGCTTCCACAGACGGCCCCAAAACAGCTGTGGTGTGTCAGTGTTTGTCTCTCTTCCCTGATGTAGCAGTGGCCAAAAGAGGCCATGTTGTTTGTTTTAATGACGAGGCTCTCCTTCATCTAATCGCAGCTAGTTAGGGGCTTAATTAGATCAGCAGCAACCTTGGACTCATGACTTGTCTTATTCTGGTGAAAAACAGTAAGACAGCTCTTTTGATGGCTCAAATATCTATATTTATGGGGATACAAACACAAAAAAACATGTCCATAAATGCTTAAAATATAAAAAGGCTGCTTTTTCTGCCTCTCTTCCTCAGATGACCTTGCTCATGGGCAGAGTGCAGCAAGGACGGCTTGGCAGACCAGCTGATGAATGAAAGCGCTCTTTTAAAGGTTTGTTGTCGCTGTCAGTCTGTGTAGGTTGTAAAGTGTCACGACCTCGGCATCCTCTCATCACATAACAGCCTGCCGGTTCTGGCCTGGGAACCGAGGCTGCAAAAGTCTTCCTGCTAAACTTTCAATACTCCTTTTAAATGCTTTTCTTCATAAGTGTCTATTGCTATCAGACTATGCTGAGGACTGTAAATTCCACTGAGAAAATCCAGCTGTTATTGCCACTTTGTAGAAGTAAATGCATTGTGCTGTAACTTTATTTGGATCTCTGTTCTCAAGTGCTATTTCAGGGCTGGCGGTGGTTGGGGTCTGAATGGGTTGAACCACACACAAACGGTACGGCGGACAGCTGAAGCCTGGAGAGAATTTACTGGTTTAATTAGTCTTTTTTACTCCCCACTCCCTACAGTATTATTCCACAGAGTCAAAGCAATTGGCTCTATTAGTTTGTCCTAGCTGTTTAAATTTAAAGCGCTTGAACTTCCCTGTGTGGAGCTCATAATTGATCTTGGTCAGGCTGTTTTTACAGTGTGGGAACTTTTCTTGGCTAATTCTCATTTGCTTTACAATGGGATATGTAAAGCGACTGCCAGCCTTTCGCCATCAGCTAAACGTATTATGCTTCAGTTTTTGAGGATGAGGGAGAGTAATTTGATGCTAATTTGAGTCACTATGGACTATGGAGTCAAATGGTTACATATTTGGTGTCTTTTAATCTGTGCCTGTAATCTAATGAGGCTAAGAGTCTAAAGCTATGCTGGTGCCTCTGTTATTCTGTACATAGGCACAGCAGTGCTTTGAACTGAATGCTAACGGAGGGGAAATATTGGGGGAAATTAATACTAAACACAAAGTATTTTTTCGTTTCTCTCGAGCCACCAGGGGCAGTGGCAGGCTACTGTTATTGTTAGCTACATTAGCCTATTTGGCAAACCAGCTCGAAAACAAAACTTTACATCCTATGACCTTGTTTGGAGGTGAAACCACGATCAAATCAAGATGTTTTTCCGTTCATGCTAGATACCTAGAAACTGAAAAGGTTTCCAAGCAACTGCCTGAGATGCACAATCATCTCATATGAGGAGAGAATAAATAAGAAGTACAGAGAAAAGGAGGGAACTTTGATGAAACACAGTGAGAGATTGTTGTACTAAATTGTTGCATTAAGCCAAGTACTGAATAGTTTATCCATACTGCCTTTAATCATACTTCATGAGAGAGAACAACAAATCAATATATCTATGCAATACAATTTTAATCCAAAAACACAAGAGATTATTTAACATCACATGCCGGTTTATTTCTGATTGCTAGTCTCAGTTAGCATGCTTTAAAAGTAGAGCAAAACTGGGCTGACATCTTTGTTGGTTGTGAGTAAATGAACACACAGATATTCACAGGGGTCTGTGGTGTCCCCTGGTATCAGCCCATCTCCAAACACAACATACAGCAAATCCTTAGCCTTGATCTGATAATGTATTCATCCATAATTAAAGCCTTCATTTCCATATCAGCGCTGCTTGCTCACACCTTCCCTGTTGGCTAATCGCTCTCTTTTACCCTCTCTCTTTCTCTCACTCTCTCTATCTTTCCCCAGTTCATATGATGTGTGAGAGATACAGGTGCTAATTACCTAGTGCTAAGACTGTTCTTGGCTTTTTCACAAGAATGCTGCATCTTTGAGAAAGCACACAGGGTTATATCAAGCAAGGTGAGATGGAGCATGAAAAGTGTGTGGTGTGACAATACAGGTAAAAACTTTATTCAGGGAGTTGGTGCATTTCTCAATGACTTGGGATTCACTGTGAGGAAACGGCCCATGAGCTCTGTTTGTTTGCTCTGGGCTGGGCAGCACACAGATTGTGAGACACAAGTCAAATAAAGACTTGTTTATTGGGACTGGGTCAATACAGTAGGTGGTCAATAAAGGGACGTACACAGTAATGTACAGCTAACACAGATGTGCGCTGACACGGATGAACTAACACGATTGTGTACTTACAGGCATGACCACACACAGATAAACTGACTCGCAGACAAGTATGCTCGAGCAAATCACAAGAACAACACACTCCCACGCCCTCAGCTTCTAGTTTCATCTATGTGGACGATCACCAATTTCAGTTTACCTTCCCCTTGACTGCCACAATCCATCTTCAGCGGGGCCCCCTGCGTATATGCAGCTTCCCCCCGGAGCTGATCTAGCACTTCTCAGAAGAGACGTGGTGCTGAGCGCAGGGCTGGAGGAGAACTCATCAGCCTGGCAGCCTAAGTCCTGCTTGTCTTTTCAGGGGCTAATTACACTGCATTGTCACACACTTTCACAGGGTATGCTGCATACACACACATTATGCATTGCACATTAACAAGCTTGGTCGTAAGTATGTACGGTACGCAACACCGTTAATACTTAATCAATATTATGAAACACTAGGCTTTGAGGCTTAAAGGAATCATTTGACATTTTGAGGAATACTCTTTTTGTCGCTTTCTTGCCAAGCGTTAGATGATGCGTTTAATACCACACTCTGCAGCAGCCGGTTAGCTTAGCTTAGCATAAAGACTGGATCAGGAGGAAACAGCTAGCCTGGCTTTTTTTTAATATGTAACCTGCTTTTATACTTTTTTGTACGGATTATAAATAAGATATATTCATAATTTATAACATTTAAAAGGTGCTGGTGGGTGGATTTTCTACTTTGGAAAGAGCCAGGCTGATTGTTTCCTCCTTTTTTCTAGTCTTTATGCTAAGCTAAGCCAATTGTCCTCTGGATCCAGCTTCATATCTACTGTAAGAGTGGTATCAATCTGTTCATCAAACTCTCAGCAAGAAAAGTATATAAGCATATTTACCAAAATGTCAAACTGTTCCTTTAAGTTACTATTTATACTGAGCACTTGAATCAAAGAAGGTGAGGTGTCTACAAGCAGGTAATACATTTACTTTCTCAGTGACATCATATAATCATGGTAAAATGTTTTATAATGTAGGTCATGTACTACATATATCCAGCTCGTAACGCTAGTAGATTTATTGCATCATGGTGTAAAACATGATACTAACTGTTCATTTGAGAGTTCATGATTGGTTATTCAATCAAACTTTGGTTTACTTTATGGCAAACCTTAAAATCAGTGCAATAACAGCACACTAAAAGCAGCAAGTAGTACATAAAGAATCAAAAATAAATAAATCAGAACGCTACAATATCACTTTATAAGACCTGACAGGGAGTCTGCACCTCAATAAAGTGCAGTAACAAGGGGCTTGTTGTCAAAAATATTCATAATACTCCCTCCTTAGAATGAAAACAGCAGGCGACTGACATCAAACAGCAAGTGTTTGAAATCAAGCCAGCCATTAGTGTTTGTGGATGAAGACACATTGCAAACAGCTTTACTGCTGTGTGAGCTACACAACAAGGTGCATCAGAACAAAGGGTTAAAAAAAAAAAAAAAAAAAGCTTTTAGCCTGCTCCTGTGGCTGTGCGTAGAAGAAGCAGTGGGCGGATTGGTGTGACGCCAGTGCAGGGATGTAAGCACGACCTTCAGTTACAGACAAACACTGTCATTCTGTGGCGAGTAAAAAGCCATCACATGTCAAAATGCATCCCCTGTCTATTTAGGAAATCTGTGTGTGTATGTGTGTGTGTACATGTGTGGTTGTGAGGCCATTGATGCTTTGAGGCAAGCACATCTTACTGCAAAAAGAGTTTCATAACACTG